TTTTTATACGCCCACATTTTCATGTGGACGTATATTGTCGTCGCCCCTGTCTGTCCGTCCATCCACAATTGTTTGTGAACAATCTACAGGTCACAATTTTAATCCGATTTCAATGAAACTTGAAATATAGGTTTATCACCCTAAGATCTTGGTTCCTCTTGATATTGGCATTTATCGGACCATAACTTCATGGATTATGGCCCCTGATTGTACGAAAAATCAGGTTTTTAGCTTGTGAACACTGTAGGGGTCACAATTTTTATCCGATTTGGATTAAGCTTGAAATGTATGCTTATAACCCAAAGATCTCGGTTCCTTTCGGTATTCGTGCATATTGGAACGTAACTTCCTGAATTATGGCCCCTGATTGTACGAAAAATCACGTTTTTAGCTTGTGGACCCTATAGAGGTCATAATTTTTATCTGATTTAAAAAAACGTATTATTATATCACCGTTACACTCTAAGGACGACTGAGTTCAAATTTCGTGAAAATCGGCCCAAAACTGACAGACAAAATGGCCACCGTTCGTTCTCAAATAGCTTAAAAATATGGTATATCAAGGTTGTGGACCCTATAGAGGTCACAATTTTTATCCGATTTTGTTGAAACTTGAAATGTAAGTTTATAACCCAAAGATCTTGGTTCCTTTCGATATTCGCATATCGGAAATGAAATGAAATGAAATGAAATGAAATGGGGTTTAACGTCCTATTGTTCTGCTCCTATACTGGGCTAATGAAGACGGGCATACGCCATACAGTGTGCTATGAGGGAAATTTTGCCCGGGCAGCGGCACTATCACCTACTCTTATATCGAATTCTAACTGCCAAGGGATCTTTTACGTGCATTCCAATGTATACCCGGGACCTCGGTTTTTCGTCTCATCCGAATGACTAGACAGCTGTCCTTGTCAGGTCCTCTGTTCTGTACCACTGACAAGGGGAAACCACGTCGGAAAATCCAGATGAACTTTCTCGGCCAATGCAGGGATCGAACACCCGACCTCCAGGCTAGCGAGCCTGCGTCGTAACCACCTAGCCACCGTGGCTCCCCGAGCATATCGGACCGTTACTTCCTGAATTATGGCCCCTGATTGTACGAAAAATCGCGTTTTTAGCTTGTGGACCCTATAGAGGTCATAATTTTTATCCGATTTAAAAAAACGTATTATATCACCATTACACCCTAAGGATGTCCGAGTTCTAATTTCGTGAAAATCGACCCAAAACTGACACACAAAATGGCCGCCGTTCGTTCTCAAATAGCGTAAAAATATGGTATATTAAGGTTGTGGACCCTATAGAGGTCACAATTTTTATTAGATTTTATTGAAACTTGAAATGTAAGTTTATAACCTAAAGATCTCGGTTCCTTTCGATATTCGCGCATATCAGACCGTAACTTCATGAATTATGGCCCCTGATTGTATGAAAAATCGCGTTTTTAGCTTGTGGACCCTATAGAGGTCATAATTTTTATCCAATTTAAAAAACGTATTATATCACCATTACACCCTATTATATCACCAGTACACCCTAAGGACGACTGAGTTCGAATTTCGTGAAAATCAGCCCAAAACTGACAGATAAAATGGCCGCCTTTCGTTCTCAAATAGCGTAAAAATATGGTATATCAAGGTTGTGGACCCTATAGAGGTCACAATTTTAATCCTATTTTGATGAAACTTGAAATGTAAGTTTATAACCCAAAGATCTCGGTTCCTTTCGATATTCGCGCATATCGGAACGTAACTTCCTGAATTATGGCCCCTGATTGTACGAAGAATTGCGTTTTTAGCTTGTGGACCCTATAGAGGTCCTAATTTTTATCCGATTTAAAAGATCGTGTTATTATATCACTGTTACATCCTAAGAATGGCTGAGTTCGAATTTTGTGAAAATCGGCCGAAAATTGACATAAAATGGCTGCCCTTCGTTCTCAAATAGCGTAAAAATATGATATATCAAGGTTGTGGACCCTATAGAGGTCACAATTTTAATCCTATTTTGATGAAACTTGAAATGTAAGTTTATAACCCAAAGATCTCGGTTACTTTCGATATTTGCGCATATCGAATTGTAATTTCCTGAATTATGGCCCTTGATTGTAGGAAAAATCACTTTCGTTTTAGCTTGTTTTCTATCCATCTCTCCAAAATGTGGGCGTATCCTGCCTGGCAGCCGCTGGTTCTGTTAGGCAATTAATATAACTATTAACTCATTGACCCCTAGACTTAATTCATTATCTACTATTGTCTCTCCCTAAGCCAATTAATTAGACAAATAGCTTATCTCCCTGGAGCTAATTAAAGGATTATCCCGTAATCCAATATATTGCAAAGAACACAAAATAACACACAAACTATTATTCCAGTCAAAAAATGTTCATATATTCAAATGAAGATATATAATTGGGCATCAAAATGGTCTAACTTTTAAGCACTAATACAAAGTAACAACAAAGTTATTTTTTATTTAAATTCAACAATGTTTAGCACACGCACATTGTACAACAGGCCATAGCATGCTTCCGTAGGCATTCGTCTAATTGACGATCAATATGTGCAAGATTTACTACAATGAGCAAATTCAAAAATCAAACTATTTTTATCCTCATTTAAATGTCCTAAAAATGTTGAAAAAATCACTGAATTTAACTTAGTTTGCTGAACAAAGTCGGCATTGTATTCGCTGACCACGTACCGACATTTTGATTTTTTTTTCGTAGTAAGTCGTATCTGGGTCATCTTCTTCTCTGTTTATAATCCCGGAAAAAAACAATTTCCCGAACACTATTGAGATTAATATTCACATAGCGAAGAAATTATTAAAAGAGTGAGCGCTGGGATATTACAATTCGACAAAGAGTGGCTGCCATTTTTGGTACGCCGTATATCACGTATATCTTCTTCTCTGTTTCATTTCTCGGAAAAATCACTTTCCCCGGAACATTTGTCATTACTGAGATTAATATTCTCATGTAAATAAATATCCTTTGATAAAATTCCTTCAAATTCTGAATCGGGATCACTTTCCATAGCAAAGAAATTATTAGATGAACGAGCGTGAAAATATTAAACTGGACCCTGTTTGTACGAAAAATCACGTTTTTAGCTTAGCTTGTGGACCCTATAGAGGTCACAATTTTTATCCGATTTTGTTGAAACTTGAAATGTAAGTTTATAACCCAAAGATCTTGGTTCCTTTTGATATTCGCGCATATCGGATCGTAACTTTCTGAATTATGGCCCCTGATTGTACGAAAAATCACGTTTTTAGCTTGTGGACCCTATAGTGGTTATAATTTTTATCCGATTTAATAAAACGTATTATTATATCACCATTACACCCTAAGGACGGCTAAGTTCGAATTTTGTAAAAATCGGCCCAAAACTGACAGACAAAATGGCCGCCCTTCGTTCTCAAATAGCGTAAAAATAGTGTATATCAAGATTGTGGACCCTATAGAGGTCACAATTTTAATCCCATTTTGATAAAACTTGAAATGTAAGTTTATAACCCAAAGATCTCGGCTCCTTTTGATATTCGCGCATATCAAAACGTAACTTCCTGAATTATGGCCCCTGATTGTACGAAAAAAATCGCATTTTTAGCTTGTGAACCCTATAGAGGTCATAATTTTTATCCGATTTAAAAAAACGTATTATTATATCACCATTACACCCTAAGGATGACTGAGTTCGAATTTCGTGAAAATCAGCCCAAAACTGACAGACAAAATTGCTGCCCCTCGTACTCAAATAGCGTAAAAATATGGTATATCAAGGTTGTGGACACTATAGAGGCCACAATTTTTATCCGATTTTGTTGAAACTTGAAATGTAAGTTTATATCCCAAAGATCTCGGTTCCTTTCGATATTCGCGCATATTGGACCGTAACTTCCTGAATTATGGCCCCTGATTGTACGGAAAATCGTGTTTTTAGCTTGTGGACCCTATAGAGGTCATAATGTTTATCTGATTTAAAAAAACGTATTATTATATCACCGTTACACCCTAAGGACGGCTGAGTTCGAATTTCGTGAAAATTGGCCCAAAACAGACAAAATCGTCGCCCCTTGTTCTCAAATAACGTAAAAATATGGTATATCAAGGTTGTGGAACCTATAGAGGTCACAATGTTGGCGTATCTTGCATGGCAGCAGCTTGTAAGCATTTGGAATTCCTTGCAAACTACAAGTTGAATGCCGGGGATACATTCATCACAGCGTCAATCACTTTGAATTGCACATGACGTCAGAATTTCTGGACGAAACCCAACCCTAACCCTAGCGCGGTGCATGTCAGTGTTGCTAAAAATAAACCTTCATCTCTTTTATCAACGTGAGATTTTGTCAATTGACCATGGCCGGTGTTGTGAGGAATGTCTCCCTTGTGCAAAATTTGCAAACTACAATAATGTAAAACAAAAAAAATCTCAAATAGGAATATCGGTCCAAATATTGTTCAATTCCGTTCAGTATTTACATAGTTATGTTGAATTGAAATTTCATGGATCTATGCTGTTCGCTATGTTATAAGTTTACCGCCATTTTATTGTGGTGAAAGAAAATGATCGGCCTTTCCAAAAGTTTCTTAAATCCAATTGAATCCAGGCCGCAAGGTTATCTAGCATTTGTACTTTGTTTTCTTAAATGTTAAATAATCAATCTGAGTACATATTAGCGTGGATTAAGCTGTTAGGAATTTAATGTTTTAGTGTAAAATGCAAATGACGAATCATTACTTTAAATTTGTAATACTGGTAACCATAATTAAATAATTTGTTTGTATCTACTGTTGGCTGTATGCTTTGTTGCTTTGTAACTTATGAGATTGTTCAGATGGTCATGGGTCAAAACCAGATCAGTATGACATTAAAATCTTAATTCAAATACAAGTAGAGACAACCTCTTTTAATTGCTTGAAAATTTTAACTACAGAAGATATTGATAGACTAATAAACCCTTTTGGGCTTTTGTTTTTTTTATTTTAGTTACTGTTATGCTTAGAACAGTTATGTTCCCAGTTGTTGTCAAAGCACGAAAGAATGCAATTAACTTACATAATCATATGCCTACAATGACAAAGCTCCAACAAAGATTTACAGATGCTCGATCAAGTGCAGATCCAATGGAAGGTATGTATGTTTTAGGCTCAAATTCTATGCCTAAATACAATAGAGCCCAACAGTTAATAGTTTACACCTTTGCTGATAAATTGAATTGTAAAAAATGCCAATGATCATGAAAAAGTCCTGTTATTTCACAAAATATATATAATTTTATACCCCTATGTGGATGTATGATGATGTCGCCCCTGTATGGGTACTCTACAAGTTTTATCTGATTTTGATGAAACTTAAAATACATGTTTATATCCCAAATATCTCTGATGAGTTTGATTTTTTTTACATTTCAAGCAGTAACTTCCTGGATTATCACCCCTGATTGTATTATAATTGTGTTTTTAGCTTGTTGACCTTCTAGATGTCACAAATTTCATACGCCCAGATTTTTATGTGGACATAATTACGCAGTAGCCCCTGTCTTTCCATGTGGCATATATTCATGTCTCCATTCACAATTATTTGTGGACACTCTACATGTAATAGAGTGGTTCATGCTCAAAAGTTTTTACAACAGACAGAGACTATTTCGGGATTATTTTAACATATGATAAGACTTGCCATAAAAACTTCATTCATCAGCAATGGACGTCTGACCACATCTGATTATTGAGGATATAACCATTTGGAAATTTTTTATAAATGCCTCAAAATCTTCCCGGCTTCCATTATCAAGTCAGTTAACTCTTAGTGACAATACGAGTTATGTCCCTTGGTCGCTTTAAAAAAGTAATCATGCCCCTGAAAGGAATATGTCTTTATCGCAGTCGGAAAACAACGCTTATTTCTTTGCTGGAACATAGCGGAATACATTCGATGAGACGATTGAATTTGACACCTGTACGCATGCGCAAACGCTTAGTTGTTTTAACAAAACACCCATGCCTTTACACTTTAAGATTGGTATCGTTTAATATGGTTGTTTTAGCGCGAATAACGATGCATACAGTTTAATTTCAAAACATCGTTTGATAATTGATAATAACGCTTGAAAATTACAAAAATCGTTTAATTAGTACTATCGTTTAATTTAATGGTACAGCGTTGAATTTCTCCGAGAGGTGTTAAGAAATGGGGTATCCGTTTACTTATCTAATGGGTTTAATTACTAGCCGAGTACTTTAATTTCCCGAGACGCGTAAAAAATTAACACCCGATGAATTTATCTACAGGGTTTAAATATTAGTCGAAGCGTTTAATTTCCCGCAAGTCGTTTATCCGATCGTTTATTTTGATTTCGATTATTTACGTATGAATTACGAATAGAAAAGGTGAATATAAAAAGAAAATGACAAATACATCAAAAACCAGTAAATCACGTCCAATGTTATTATACCATTGGAAATCGGTAAAGCACATCCCAGGTAATGTATTTTCTTTAATTGTTGTTAGTTAGTTGTATTTTACGTCCGCTACCACCGAGGTGATATCGCAGACAAATTTAAATCACAAAAGAATGAAAATAGACTTCCACCTGTACACGTCGCTAGAAGACCTGGCAATGTACACGTGTCACTGTGATAATCTCGTGAGACTTTTTCACTGGCGCCTAATAGTTGATCTCTATACAAGATGTCGCTCATTTTCAGACAAAGCTACAGGAATGGCTTCCAACAGTATCAAAAGGATACCGTAGTATTATTATCCATTATCCATTTAAAAAAATAATGATTCCACCATTGACAAATACATCACAAGTCGGTAAATCACGTCCAATGTTACGATTATTTGAATATGAAGTGCGAATACATCAAAAATCGGTAAATCACGTCCGAGGTAATTATACATTTGGAAAGCCGTAAATCAAATCCCATTCGTTCGTTCGTTCGTTCGTTCCTGGAGTTTTACGTCCAGTTCCACCTGAGGTGATATCGTAGACAAGTCACACACATCCCACTACTACCTGTTGTTTTAACGTTCGCTTCCACAGAAGTGATATCACAGACAAGCACACATCCCAGGTAATGTATCTGTTGTTGTTAGTTAGTTGTATTTTACGTCCGCTTCCACCGAGGTGATATCGCAGACAAGGTAATGTATCTTCTTTAAGTCACAAATGAATTAAGTTCCACCTATAGACGTCACAAGCTGAGAAGTCAACCCCGCAAAGTAATGTTGCACGACGATAATCTCGTGAGACTTCTCACTGGCGCCAAAAAGTCGCTATCTGTAAGTCTCTATAGACAAGCTGACGCCCATTTTCAAACAGGTCACACAGGGCTAACCATGTGACACCATCGCACGCCAGATGCTGCCCATCGCAAGAATATTTTCTTTCTCCTACTAGCACAACCATTGTTTCGAATACCCTTTCAGTGCTATGAACATCAGATAATAATTTCGCTAACCCCACTACGTTTGTACTACATTCCGTAATTTAACTGATTTATACTATATCCAATATAACGTTTTGATTAATTAAATGAGAGTAAACACTTTTACCTTGTAATTTTATACCAGTTTGCGATTTATGATTACAATCTTATACAAAGTATTTATATTTTATTGTAAATAATTTCCTCGGGAGATGAATTTATATAAGCTCTGGCTTGCTTTCAGATCCCACAATCATATAGTGTACTTTTATAATATGTAAATATTTATTGAATAAATAGTGTCAGAACCAAAAAAAACCTATTGCATTAAACCAAAGGTACATTTATCACTATTACAATATATGTACATGTATGGTATTAAAAAAATAATGTGTGTCGGGGAGGCCACATAACGGGGATTGGACAGCAGGGTTATATTTTTCTGTCAAGTTGGGTACTAACTCAAAATCAACATTCTCGAAACAGATTTATAAATCAAACAAAACAAATATTTAGCTGTGATAAATTAATAACAAAGAGCAAATTGTATGTATTTATATGTATGCACACTAAACACTAAAAACAATCACAAATAATGCAGGTGGGAAGTGATAAAACAATAGCATTTGAGCAATCAAAGAATTAATCCATACTGTAATAACGGAATGTGTATTCAAAAACATGGTTTCATATAGTACCCAGACAGGTGGCCACAGGTAGGAATTAATGAAACAATAGCATTCGACCAATCAAATAATTAATCTTTACTGACACAGCGGACATCTATGACTTTGTGTTGTACGTGTATTTTCAAAATAACCATCGGATGACTAAAAAGTGAATCGCTCACAATGGCGTGTATACACAGACCCTTTCTGTAATTAATGTGTATGGGGATATAGATTCGGAGGTGATTAATGACTAATATGATAATCGTAGTTAAAAGACGAATCTCAATACCTTTTTTACTGTGCATATATATAAATATCTAATAATTATTTAATCCCTGTTTTAACTAATCACAATGTAAAATATTGCACCATATATACACAACATGTTATTATCTGCGATATCGCCTCGGTGGAAGCGGGTGGTAAATAAAGCGATCTCAAACACTTAAATATCACTCATTCACTTGTTCATTAGCGTTCGCCCTGTTAACACCTGAGCTCCAGTGATCCAGTATTCCAGTCTTATAGTGCTCCAGTTATCCAGTGTTCCAGTATTCTATTCACCAGTTTTCTATTCAACAGTTTTCCAGTATTCAATTCACCTGTTCTCCAGTATTCTATTCACCAGTACTCTATTCACTATGAACCCCATAATCAAAACTTACGAAGTCCCCGAAGATGAGACCAGCAGGGTGTCCTACACGTGGCGGTCAGTAGCACAGAGAGATTGACCGACATGTCTATCTTGAAGTGCCTGATCGACCTGCTCGGCAAGTGGGACGATATATTAACAATATATCAGGTTAAAGAAGAATGGCATGTCCACGTGAAGACGAAAGAGGTCAAAACCACACTACTAGAAAAAGAAAGCCACACCTACATGGGGATAGAATACAGATTCTTCAGACGATTCTCGAAAGTAGTAACCCTCACCGTATATGACTTTCCAGTCTCTTACTCAGACGACTATTTCCATAATATTATGACCGATATTGGGTACGTCAGATCCTTCAAAGCTGCAATAAAAATAAATGAGAGCAGCTTTAACATCCAAGAATGCAGCTACCATCCCTCATCTGATTCTTATACGTAATTCGAGGTGCAATGATATAAATTCGGATTTGAGTGGACGAGTTAACACAATTATATATGTATGTGACCGTAAGCTTATTCTCGGTCTTTTTCATTTTGATTTTAATATTTTATCAAGAAAAACATACATGTAACAACTTTTGGTCAGGTATCACAGCTTTATAACCATTTAATGATTTATTTCTGTATTAATTTTATACTAATTTGAGAAAACCATTGGTTGTTAAAGAATTATCATACTTTTCCCGGGAACTGATTTTTTTATCATTTACTATAATGTTTTTATTACTTCATATATACAAGAATTTCCATAATTGTTACCGGTATATAAAGTTTCATACATCTCACTCAGTTAATCATTTTTTTTATTAATCCATAGCAATTAATTAAGTGTTTAACATTTTATTTAAAATCGGATTACGTATTATTTAAAATCGAATTACGTATGTAAATACAACCGAACTCTCACTTAGCTAATTAAATGAAGCAATCCAAACAATGCGTAATTACTTGAGATTTTTTTATGTTTTTGTTTAAGAATTTTCATGCAATTGAGAATTATATTTACGCATGGTGTAATTGTTGTACTGCAGTCAAGTGTTTACGTAACATCAAGGCAGTATTCATTGAAGCTTATTTACTGTTGATACTGTTTGACCCGCATGAAAATGGGCGACAGCTTGTCTATAGAGATTTTGGCGCCAGTGAGAAGTCTCATGAGATTATCGTTGTTCAACATTACATTGCGGGGTTGACTGCAATCTCTTCCTGTGGCGCCTACAGGTGGAAGTTTATTCATTTGTGATTACCTGGGATGTGTGTGACTTGTCTACGATATCACCGATTTTTGATGTATTTGTCAATAGCGGAATTACTATTTTGAATGGATAATGGATAATAATAATACGACCACGGTAAGGCGATCATCTATGGG